TTCCTGGGCAATTTTTTTAGGTCATGACCATGGGGTACTTTGGGTGAAGGACCATTGATTTCTGATTTTATAGTTTATGAAGACTGAAATTTCTTTCCTTTCCTACATGTCTTCTGGCAGCCTGAAGAAAAGATTCTGTGTCAGATTCTGAGCCTGGCTTTGAGTGGAGAGGCAGAGCCAGGAAGCTCTGGATTCGAGCCCAGGCACAGTTATTTATTTATTCATTGTTTTAGTCAGCTTTTTCATCACTGTGAGCAAAAGACTTGATAAGAACGACTTAGAGGGGGGGAATTTTATTTTGGCTCACAGCTTCAGGGGTTCAGTACATGGTCAGTCAATTCCATGGGTTCAAGGGGAGACAGAACATCATGGTGGAAAACATGACAGAAAAAGCAGTTCAGCACATGGCCAGTAGGAGGCAAAGAGAGTTCTGTTCACCAGGAACCAAAATATATGCCCCCAAAGTATATCACCAGTGACCTACTTCTTCCAGCCACACCCTACCTGTCTACAGCTCCAGTTAATCCATATCAGTGAATTAATCCACAGATCTGGTTATACTTTCTTATAATCTAATCATTTCACCTTGAAAATTCCTCCATTGTCTCACACATGCACTTTTGGGGGATACAACATACTTAAACCATAACATTCTGCTGTTGGCCCCCCAAAGCTCCTACGCATCTCACAATGCAAAATACATTTAGTCCATTTCAAAGATTCCCCATAGTCTTAACAGTTCTAGCATTGCCCACAAGGTCAAGTCCAAAGTCTCCTCTGACTCAAGGGAAACTCTTAGTGTCAGCCCTTGTAAAGATCAAAAACAAATTACACATATCCAGTATATAATGGCACAGAGTAAACATTTCCATTCCAAAAGGGAGAAATAAGAGACATTGAAAGAAGGGATAGAGCCAAAGCAAGACCAAAATCTAAGCTGAGCAAACAAATTCTGTAGATGCACATCCAGCATCTGGGGCACATGGCATCAAGATGTTCTCTTAAAAGGTCTGCTCCTGTAACCTTGCTGTCCACATGCCTCTCTCTTACCTTGTACCTGCTTGATTCTCACAGCTGTTCTTGGCAGACATTTCCCAATACTGGCGTCTCTTAATCTCGGGGGTCTCCACTGCAGCTGCAGCTTCCTTCTTGAATCATCATGCATCACCCTCTCAGAGGCAGCCCTTAGGGACTCTGACTCTGCCACACTTGGCCAGCCTCCCAAGCTTTCCTTTGAAATCTTGGTGGGAGCTTCTATGATCTCCTGATTCCAGCATCCTGCAGCCCTGCAGAACCAGCAACACATGGTGGATAGTGAGGTCTGCTGCCATCTTGGGCAGTAGCCAAGCCTCCTGGAACCATGCTGCAGAAGCCTCTGAGTACCTGGGTCACTGAACACATGTTAGGCCCCCTGTGCAACCAGGGTGCCCCGTGGTCTCTTCTCAAAGGAATTTTTACTTTTATACCTTTGAGCCTGAGCTGGTGTAGTCTTGCCAATGCCTGAGATGCCCTTAAGCCATCTTTCCTATTGTTTCTTTAGCGACTGTAATCTCTCTGACAGCCACACTTTCCTTAGTCCCAGTTTTACTTACACTTTTCTGGCCAAACTGCAAATCTTTATGCTCTGCTTTCTGCTCCTAATTATGACGATAAGGTTGGCTGAAAATTACCAGGAGTATCCATGTCACTGTCTGAATGCTATGCTGCCTTGAAATTTCCTCTGCCTGATTAATTAGTCTACCCCCTTTGAATTCAGCCTCCCAGAAAGTCTCAGGATATGAGCAAAATATAAACAATTTCTTTGTTAGAATACAACATGAATGGCCTCTCCTCCAGTATTCAACAGAATCCTCCTTCTACTCTGAAATCTCATGAGACCAGCCTTTACTGTCCACAGTCCTGTTGACATTCTAGTCTCTGAACTCCCATCAGAATTGCTCATTAAGTTCTGCTTACAGCATTCTGAAACTTTTCCAGCCTGTATCGCCAAACTTTTCAGAATTCCTCTTGCCAATTCCAGTTCCCAATGCTGAACAGCATCGTGAGGTTAGTCACAGCAATGACCGTATCTGGGTACCAATTTGTTTCTGTCAGCTTTTTCCTCTGTGACCAAAAGACCTGACAAGATGATTTAGAGGAGGAGACGTTTATTGATAATTTAGAGGAGGAGACGTTTATAGATAATAAACTTATTATCACAGTTTCAGAGGTTCAGACCATGGTTGACTGACTCCATAACTCTGGACCTGAGGTCAGGCAGGCAGAACATTATGGAAGAAGGGCATGGTGGAGGCAAGCTGCTCAGAACATGATCACCAGGGAGCAGAGAGAGGAGAGAGAGAGAGAGAGAGAGAGAGAGAGAGAGAGAGAGAGAGA